TTCTTGCTTAAAAATTCTAGCACATCCCTTTTTAAAAATAATGATTATAGTTATTTATATCGATATAATCCACTGCAAAATCAGTTTAAAATTATATCAGTCCAACGAATTCTAGATCGGAGGAATTCTTGTTTGAGTTAGATCGGTATGTGTTTGGCACTATGACAGCATTTTAATGTTTATGAGTTTGTAATTCATAAGGGAGCAAAAAATCGATTCATGGTTTTATTGAGGGGATTCTAGGTCCCATTTTTTTATGTTTTTTCCTCACAAAAAAGTTTTACCGCATTCGGATATACTTTATCAACCACCAGAATCCAAAATTTAACGGTAAGACTTCTTTTGTTTAATTTGCATATATATACGTTTTAATGTCGAGAACAATAAATATAAAGATAATAAATAGAGACAATAAATTAATGATATCCGAATGACAAATAGTGGAGTGAGGATAGAGTAGGAGACAGTGCAGTGTCTGCAAATGTAAGTGTGTGTTCACAAACTCTCACGCAAATAGTAGTCACATTGTCTTTGACATTCACAAAGAGTCTTGGACCTCTTTTGACCTGTCAGACTTTTCCTTCCCATGTCGATACGAGAATCTATACATACATGTGCTTCACGTACTTTAGTGCACACTGGTTACACATGTAATAATTTGCGGATCTATGTCATTACGAGACACGGGTGTTGTAGTTTGATTGATTGGTTCTTTTGATCCAGACAAAGATGAACACGATATATTTTTATTGATGAGACTTATTTTTGTTTTATTTGGTATGAGTCTGATCTTTTTTTGTTTTGTTTAAAGGTATATGAAGAAAGAAAATCAAGTGCATACACGTATGTTTCTAGAGGATGGAGTCTAAAAAGCAGGAAAAAGATAAAAATAAGATGAAAGACGTGCATGAGAAGAAAAGTGCAGAAGGGTCAGTGACAGAAGTGACTTCGCCTGAAGATGCAAAGATATTCAGCCAAAAATCACATCTGATTCTTTCTTTCCAAAGTAAAATCCAGATCTATATTTTCTTCTTGCATAAGTTACATGTTTTAATTTTTATAATGCATGTCATAATCTGAAATTGTATTTTCATGTTCTTGCTCTGTTATAATAGTCATTGTTATATGAAGCATGTATGTAATGCATATTTGTAGAAATACTCACAGAGTAGCCATGGATTCTTGAGAATAACGTGATACAACAATTTAGTACTTTTTCATACTATCCTATTTAAAGAGTACAGCCCTATTCAAAGAGTTAATTGGGGTATTAGTCATTTTAAAATTCCTCTTTGTTTTGTTTGCTGCGTTTTGGCTATTATTATTTTTTTGTTCTCAGCATTCTGTATGGTTTAACTATATTTCAGATAAATAAAATTCTAAATACAAGTTTTGACCATTTATGCTTTATGTCCAGCTTCATAGCTTTACGAGTCCCCTCGAGAGTTTTAGAGAGTTTGAGAGAAAATGTCTTCCTCTCTATATCCTCAACAAAGAAGCTTCACTTCCTCTCATCCTGTACAAAGACAAGCGACTATTCGACTCTGTTATAAACTACAAGAACTCAAGCCAAACTATTTAGAACAATTGTTCCTCCCAGCAACAACCAGTGATACTATATATATATCTTCTATTGCAACCACGCTGGAGATAGACGAACCAGAACCAGTTGCTATAATAGTGCCTAAAATTTCCTTAACCAAGATGATCAACGATATGCAGAAGGAGAAGCAACTCGTGGCTGTGGAGAGAGACATATGAGCTTTACATGACGAAGGCAAAAGTGTCGATTAAAGTTTTGTTCAATAGCAGATTAGTACATTGCGAGTGGAAAACGAGATTCTGAACAAGAAGAAGAACAACATCAATGATGGGATGAGGAGAACGTAATACTCCTACAGAACCAATGTATATCATTAGATGGCTTTTGCATCTAAAACATTATTGATTTACGAAGCCTTTTGGTAACTTAAATGTGTTCCATGACCAAGAAGAAAACTTGATTAAAAACGGTATCTGTCATCGTTTTTTTCAAATTTTGGTCTCAACATTTCTTAAACAAATGCAGGTCGAATGCTGATTTCTGTGTGAAAAAAAGAAAGAGAACAACAACTATAATAACAAAAACTTTTTGGTTTAGGATTGGGGTCTGATGATCGTGGTCGTTTGTGCTATTATGGAGGCGAGTGGATGGGCATCGAATGAGGCATTGCGAGTGTAGATTTGGATCTTTCCCTATTCTGGTGATGTTGTAGAACCTCTTGGACTTTAGAATGCTGTTTATGATTTTGTATCAAATCATGTTGACTGATTTTTGTTATTCTTTTTTAGTTTTAAAGTGTCGCTTTTTGTACGATTGTTAGAATATGACATCTATATATTTGTTTTGATTTTTTCATTTATTAAAGTTATACATTTCGTAAATTTTACATAGATTTACTTGATGCAATTAAAATACCCATTTAATGTGTTGGTTGTCTAAGAAGAGGCCACAATCAAAAAAACAAGAGATTAAAATATATATTATATGTTTCACTCGATGAACTCATTTATTTTGTAAATGTTAGAGTTGATATATGGATTTAAAATATGTAGTGTGTGTGTTAGATTTCAATATCGTGGTTGGTAAATATAACACAGTCACATTGTTATAAACTAGGTTTGGAAAAAGTCACTAGAATTTCATCTGTTTTAAATAATAAATTATATTAGAGAAATGAATGAGTAATATTCACTTAATTTCTTAAAAATTGGGATTTTAAATATGTCTGTAAATTCTAAAACAAGTTTAATAAAACAATTAATTAGTCTAAATAAGGTTTGCTAACAAAAGAGATACTCAAAATATTTGTATTTTCTAAAATATCGTTCCATTTGTTTAAAAAATTATTAGCTTTTCTGTGACAGAAAGTCGAGGTACAGTTAATCACATATGCTCTATAATCAGTTTTTGTGTTTTCTACATTGCCAAATGTTTCATTCTTGATTTGTTTTTTTTTTTTTGCTGTATAGAAATATTCTTGATTTACTGAGGCGGAACAAAGTCCAATTGTAAAAGAAAGACATCCCTGTGGAATATCATTTGGACGAGGTTTGATTCTTTTTATCTTTTGGGTTTCTGGAAAATTTGTTCATTTAGCCATCTAAGATAACGTCAAGATGTCTCCGGATATGTGCAATGTTCACATACCATGTTCTTTAGTCATAAGGGATTCGAAGAAGCGATCTTATCTCTCTTTTACTGGAGTTGTATATTCAATACTTTAAGCCTGTCAGTGATTTGTTGTTCTGGATCAGGTGTTTTGGGCAATCGCGGAGATGGAGCCAACTGAAGTGAAGCTAGGGATGGATTTGCAAATATTATCTTAAGACTTTGGATATAACAATTAGAGATATCATGAAATGTGTTAGAGTTTCGGTCACATATATTTGTAGATCAAGAATATGAATCGTGAGAGTGAGTGATCAAGAATACTAATGAGAGAGAGAGAGAGAGAGAGAGAGAGAGAGAGAGAGAGAGAGAGAGGGAGAGAGAGGTAGGGGAGAAATAAAAGGAGAGAAAGAGGGAGAGAGAAAATAATAAAGCTGGATGCTCAAAGCATGCAGTCGATTGATCTTGAATAATATGTTAGATTTTTTATCTTTGAGTTCTAAAATATATTATGTTTTCTAGCCTTATCTTTATAAGTTGTATGTGTTGTATATTAAGAACAAGCAAGAGAGATAAAGAGTCAAGATCTACTTCGGAAACAAGAACAAGAAGGAGAAGGAGAGAGAGAGAGAGAGAGAGAGAGAGAGAGAGAGAGAGGATCTACTTTGAAAACAAGAACAAAGGGGAGAGAAAGAGAGAGGGAGAAGGAGAGAGAGATAGATGGAGGTCATAGAGAACGAGAGGGATAATAGAGAGAGAGAGAGAGAGAGAAAGAGAGAGAGAGAGAGAGAGAGAGAGAGAGGTAGAGAGAAAGGAGAGAGAGGAGGGAGAGAGAAATAGGTAGGGAAGAACTAAAGATTTTTAGTGAGTGGGTTGAAACTAAGATTTTTATTTAAGAATATCAGAGAGAGAGAGAGAGAGAATAGAGAGAGAGGAGAGAGAGAGAAATAGGTAGGGGGAATTAAAAGGAGAGAAAGAGGAAGAGTGAAAATAATAAAGCTCGATGCTCAAAGCATTGTTTCAGTCGATTCCGTATTAAGAACAAGCTAGAGAGATAAAGATTGAAGAGAGATTAGTTTTTTTCATATCTATTATGTTTATTTTCTTAGAGAATAAGCAATAAAATACTTTTAAAACTATGTTTGAGTAGATGAATATCATATTGCAGATTATGTTTATGTATTTTCAAGTTTTATGCTTGATCCTGATTTGTTAGAGACAGATAATATAAAAATAATACAAAATCGGCTTGTGATGAACATGAAAGAGACTGAAAGCAAATATTTTTTTTAATACCAATATCAACTAATATTATTTTAATACCAATACCTTTAGAAAGAATATAATAGACATACGTATTAATTTTGGATATAGATATATATGACGGAAAGATCAAATAGTCTAATATTATGGATGTTGAGATAGATATACTGCAAAATATGTTAATAATTGAGAGTGGAAATCTATTGGCGGAAAGTTTTTCGAATTCGCTTATGTTCATGATAATCTATACGAAACCAGCATTAAATCTATTGAGGTTATAATTTTTTTGAACTTTAGGTTATATCATATTCTCGAAAATTCTTTTAGTTTTCTTAAACAATATATATATTTTTATTTTATTTTTAAAATTTGTTTTGGTTCGTAATTAATATTATATTTATTATAGAGTTAATTAAAAAATTGTTTGGTCCGTGCAGGGCGCGGACGACACACCTAGTCATCTAGTAATAGTTAAGATAACTCAATTGTAATTACAATTGACACTCGAAAGATTAATCTAAAACTCGACTAAAGAACATCACTCTCTCCTTTATTCCTAATTTTTTTATCATTTCTGATCGAGCTTCGTTACTATAGTTTACTAGGCTAGGGTATGTTCAAGCGGGGCCCATAGCGAGATTAACGCAGAATACAATATTCACTCTGCTCTTTATATGGCACCCAGCCCTAGGCTTCGTTTCGTCTCCACACGCCTTCTCTCTCTCCTTCAATCGTCAGATTTCGTTCGCCTCCATGATCGATTCCATCTGATTCATCATCATCCTCAATCAATCCCTAATCATTATCCTTATCTTCTTCCTCATCTCTCTCTGTCTTTATCTGCATCTGGAAGCGTGACTCTTCGTCATGTATAAAACCGCATCATCCTCCGCTACTTCCTCCATCCTTCGAGCTGCTTCTTCTCGCTCTCCCCTCTTCTCCTTCCGATCTTCTTCGTCGCCGTCCTCATTCGCCGCGTCTCCGTCGTCCCTTCTCGGCCGAAGATCTTTTGCGACTTCTTCACCCGCTTTCCGATCACTCCCTCGCTGGAGCCGTAGCCTTCACTCACGACCTTCTCCGTTTCCCTTCAGCTCTAAGATCAGAACCGTTTCTCCCGTTTTAGACCGACTCCAGAGGAACTTCTCTTCCATGGGTAATTTTTTTTTTTTCATTTCTCTGTGTCTATGAAATGATTGGATCTAGCTTCGATATTGCGATCTTAAGCTGATTAAATTCTATTTGCTTTTGAGATTTTGATCTGTTTCTCGTATTGGTTTCAGCGTCAGAGCATCCTTTTAAGAGGATCTTCACGACTCTTCCCAAGCCTGGTGGTGGCGAGTTCGGAAAGTACTACAGTTTGACTGCTCTAAATGATCCAAGGATTGGTAATTTCTCTATGAACCATTTGATTAAACCAGTCGAGGAATAGCCAAAATTATAAGAGAAATGCTCTAATTTTTTTTTTTTTAATGGTGTAGATAAACTGCCTTACTCTATCAGGATCCTTCTTGAATCTGCCATTCGTAACTGTGACAACTTCCAAGTTACCAAGGAAGATGTTGAGAAGATTATTGACTGGGAAAAGACAGCTCCTAAGCAAGTCGAGATTCCGTTCAAGCCGGCTCGTGTTCTTCTGCAGGTAACACTTCGGTTCCAAATTGAATCGCGTCTTCTTCGTTTTTATGCTCTTAACCTATTTTTATTTTTTTTCTTTTTCGTCTTTTGTTTTCTGGCAGGATTTCACTGGAGTACCAGCTGTTGTTGACCTTGCTTGTATGCGTGATGCTATGAACAAGCTGGGCAGTGATTCCAACAAAATCAACCCATTGGTACGTTTTAATTATCTTTTTAAAGATCGATGCAATCTGTTTAGCTTAGGCTTCTAGGTTTCTTACATGGACTATTTCTCGCAGGTTCCCGTGGATCTTGTAATTGACCACTCAGTTCAAGTTGACGTTGCTAGATCTGAGAATGCGGTGCAAGCAAACATGGAGCTTGAATTCCAGAGAAACAAGGAGAGGTTTGCTTTCCTTAAATGGGGTTCCACTGCGTTCCAGAACATGCTTGTTGTGCCTCCTGGCTCTGGGATTGTGCATCAGGTAATTCCTTTGCAGTGTGCAGTTCCATATTTGTGTTTTTAAACCTATTCTTGATATATATCCTGTTTCCAGTGTTGAAATGTTGCTTTCATTTTCTTATCTTCTATTGTTCATTTCGAAGTCGATTTGCTCTCAATTTAACCCCGTTTTGAAAATTCAGGTGAATTTAGAATATCTTGGACGAGTTGTCTTCAACACCCAAGGTGTTCTCTACCCAGACAGTGTGGTTGGAACTGATTCACATACAACTATGATCGATGGGTTGGGTGTTGCTGGATGGGGAGTTGGAGGCATTGAAGCTGAGGCAACAATGCTGGGCCAGGTAAATTACTGATTACCCACATCTTGTGCTGATGGATCTGGAAACTACTTTATTGAATATATATTAGATCACAATATATTTATGACTCTTCTGCTCCAATGTAGTGAGGTTAATGTTTAACGTAACCTTTCTTCTACTGATAACTCTGTTTTCTTTGACAGCCCATGAGTATGGTATTGCCCGGTGTTGTTGGATTCAAACTGTCCGGGAAAATGCGAAATGGTGTTACAGCTACTGATTTGGTTCTAACAGTGACTCAAATGCTGAGAAAGCACGGCGTTGTTGGAAAGTTTGTTGAGTTTTATGGTAATCTTGTGAACTCTTAATTGTTTTGCTCCGTTTTGGTAGACATGAGTTATTTAAAAGTCTTTTTTTTTTTCTTAGGTGATGGTATGAGTGGGCTGTCCCTAGCTGACAGGGCCACAATTGCCAATATGTCTCCTGAATATGGTGCAACCATGGGCTTCTTCCCTGTGGATCATGTTACTCTGCAGTATCTCAAATTGACTGGAAGAAGCGATGAGACGGTGAGTGTTTTGGATTTAATTTTCCTTCAGTGTTCATTCATTTATATGGGCTATATAAAACTTTCATTTCAGGTGGCCATGATTGAAGCATATCTTCGGGCAAACAATATGTTCGTTGACTACAATGAGGTAAATCAGCCTTATCCCTTACATGTTTGGGGTTTTAGTTTTTCATCTGATTTCTGGTTTTTATTTGATTTCTTTTGCTTTGTAAATAAATTCAGCCTCAGCAAGATCGGGCTTATTCGTCATATCTAGAACTGAACCTGGACAATGTTGAACCTTGCATTTCTGGACCAAAGCGGTATGTGTTCTGTTGGTTTTTGTAATCACTGAGCTAGTAAGCTATTTCTGTTTACTTGATCGCCTCATCTTATTGATATCTACTTTGTAGGCCACATGACCGTGTTACTTTGAAGGATATGAAAGCTGACTGGAATTCATGTCTCGACAGTAAAGTTGGGTTCAAGGTATGTAATTAGAAGCTTCGTTATGTGGAGGTCTTATTTCTTAAGCACCTACACGGTCTATATACTGGCTGTTGTTTATTTATGCATTGTGCTTTACATTCTATGCAGGGTTTTGCAATCCCTAAAGAGGCACAAGAAAAAGTGGCAAACTTTTCGTTCGATGGAAAACCAGCGGAGATTAAACACGGAAGTGTGGTGATTGCTGCGATCACAAGCTGTACTAATACATCAAACCCCAGTGTCATGCTTGGTGCTGGTCTTGTTGCGAAAAAGGCTTGTGACCTTGGCCTACAGGTTGGTTTCAGTCACTAGATCAAAACGAGAAATCTATCTGATGCCTTATTTTTTTCTGATCCCTTGTAAAAACAAAATTTGCCTCTCTAGGTTAAGCCTTGGATAAAGACAAGTCTTGCGCCAGGCTCAGGAGTTGTTACAAAATACTTATTAAAGAGGCATGTCAATAGTGTTTTCACGTTCTCTGTTGTTAAAGGTTGATTCTTCCTCCATTGGAGAAATATTCAAGTTTACATTACACTCATTGCAGTGGACTGCAAGAATATCTGAACCAGCAGGGATTCAATATTGTCGGATACGGCTGCACTACATGCATTGGTAACTCTGGAGAAATTAATGAATCAGTGGGAGCTGCAATCACAGAAAATGGTATTACTGAGATTTACAACCAAGACTTATTTTGAAATCTTTGCCTTTATTATATTTATAATTTATATATGTGGCTATTTTGTCATTGCTTATTGTTAGACATTGTGGCGGCTGCTGTGCTTTCTGGAAACAGGAACTTTGAGGGTCGTGTTCATCCACTAACTAGAGCCAACTACCTTGCATCTCCTCCTTTGGTGGTTGCCTACGCTCTTACTGGAACGGTATTAAATCTAAGGAATTTGTTAAATTTCTACATTTTTGTATGTGAAAATGACACATTGACGTAGGCCTAGATGAACTCGGTTCGGGGTTTTCGGTTTTTTCGTATAGGAACCGTTCGGGTATTTATGAAATTCAGTTCGGTACTTTAGGTTTTCGGTTCGGTTCGAATAGTGAAGCTGGGAACCGGCTAGAACCGGTTTTTTTTTGGTATGGTTTGGTTCTGTTTTTATTGTTAATTTCGGGTAATTCGTTTTTTCGGGGGTATCTTACTTTTGGTTATTTTGGTTATTTGAAATGTAATATATAATAGGCATACAATCGTATTTTTGGTATCTATTCGGTTTGGATTGGGTACCAAAATGTTTTTTAAAAAGGAACCGTTCGGTTATTTATATTTATTTGGTTTGTTTAGTACCTCCTGATTCGGTTCTGTTTTTTTGTGCTTCCGGATCATATGCCCAGGCATGATCGACTCAGCATCATATTCATGTTGGTTACTCTAACATTATTTTATTTTTTATTTTCCAGGTTAACATTGACTTTGAAACAGAGCCTATTGGCACTGGAAAGAATGGCAAGGACGTCTTCCTAAGGGATATCTGGCCAACCACGGAAGAAATTGCAGAGGTATATATACAATTTACGAACCAGATAACAAAGCTTCCTTCTGTTACACGAATATTAAGCTAAGTCTTTTGACATGTGGATCAGGTTGTTCAATCCAGTGTTTTGCCTGACATGTTCCGAGCAACGTACGAGTCGATCACAAAGGGTAACCCGATGTGGAACGAGCTCTCTGTTCCTGAAAACACCCTCTACTCATGGGATCCCAAGTCAACTTACATTCACGAGCCACCATACTTCAAGGACATGACAATGGATCCTCCAGGTCCACACAGTGTGAAAGACGCTTACTGTTTACTCAACTTTGGGGACAGTATCACTACTGATCACATCTCTCCAGCTGGGAACATCCAAAAGGACAGCCCCGCTGCAAAGTATCTCCTCGAGCGTGGCGTTGAACGCAAGGACTTTAACTCATATGGAAGCCGACGAGGGAACGACGAAATAATGGCGAGAGGCACTTTTGCTAATATCCGAATCGTTAACAAGCTCTTAAATGGTGAAGTTGGCCCTAAGACTGTTCACATTCCTTCTGGAGAGAAGCTCTCAGTCTTCGACGCAGCCATGGTTTGTTTTCTTGGTTTTAACTAATCTAAATTTGTATGTTGATCATGTCTAATGTCTCCTTACTGTATCAGAGGTACAAGACATCTGGTGAAGACACAATTATTCTTGCTGGAGCTGAGTATGGAAGTGGTAGCTCACGTGATTGGGCTGCTAAGGGGCCTATGCTACAGGTTTATTTAAGAGCCCATCTTCTCTCTTTTTGTCATCTCTTTAGATTTTGCAGCCACTGAGACAAAACTAAGTTTTGATTTTTTGTTTTGTTTTCAGGGCGTTAAAGCAGTGATTGCAAAGAGTTTTGAGAGGATTCACAGAAGCAACTTGGTGGGAATGGGAATCATCCCATTGTGCTTTAAGTCCGGGGAAGACGCAGATACGCTTGGACTTACGGGCCACGAGCGCTACACGATCCATCTCCCGACCGATATCTCGGAGATAAGACCAGGCCAAGATGTTACCGTCACAACCGACAACGGAAAGTCTTTCACTTGCACAGTTCGGTTTGACACTGAGGTAAGTAAATACTCGAATGTTTTGGTGGAGAAGAAGGCATTTTCTTCAATGTGAACTAATTAAATGGTAACTGTGTAGGTGGAATTGGCATACTTCAACCATGGAGGTATACTTCCATATGTTATCAGAAACTTGAGCAAGCAATAGTGTGAGGATGAAAGGAAGTGTGACAAAATCTTTTAATAAAAGATACGAGGAGGTTTTACGAATTTCTGTTTAAAAAATGTCAATTTTATTAAAGGCAGATAAGTCTGTCGAGGATAGGTGAACAGATGAGTGGTGATGATCTCCTGCAATATGAAATCTTTTCTTTTCTACTGTTTCAGTGGCTAATTATTATTACTCGTTTGGCTCCCAAATTTGTGAACTAGATATTTTAAATTTTGGTAAGAAAAATAAAATAAAAAATGAATCACGTTAAAACAGATTCCCAATAATGTCATTAGTTTACCTTTCAATTGAAAATACAATTTTGAGAAATTTTGTGATATAAACAATTTGGAATAGCTGATTGGAAATTTACGTTTTGTCAAAGCCGAGTTTTCCGCAATTTGTGTCAATGAGGTGGCTTCCAGCCATCCTTGATCATAATCTACCACAGAAAATTATGAAATTTAAAGATTTTTCTTGAAAGCGTTTTGAAACCGAATGCGTTCAACACGTTACACAACAAAGTGACACCAGTTGTTTGGTAAAACTTCATTATGGTTAATGATCTCTCTAAGTAGTAGTAGTAGATAATAGATACATATGTAAAAAGTCACATGTTGACTTGTGACTTGTGTACATGTTTAGTTCCTCAAACATGCTTATACAGTAATTTTTTTATAGTAATTATTATTTTTGAAATTTCTAAGTAAATATATAATTTAAATAATAAAATAAATTAATAAAGAAAACTATATTTGAGACAAATATTGATGATTGATTTAAAAAAAAAAAATTAGTTATTGATTCGATCCTCAAGAAACTCGCTCAGGAGGCCCAAATGACGTCAAATAGTCTTAAGAAAAGTAAACCAAATGTCATACGCACTAACGATATTAATTTTATCACATAGTCTTAAGAAAACATCGATCACATAGTCTTAAGAAAAGTAAACCAAATGAAAAAAAGGCGGGAAGATTATACATCGATCACCTACACTCCAAGTGTGATATAGTGGCATAGTTTATTGTGCTGGATTGTCCGACGACTGATGAAGATGAAGCGGTTTCACCGCGGAGGATTCTTGCATAGAAGTAGTTAGGTTTTTGGTGTTTGGGAATTTCCGATTGTGTGCTTTCCAGCATTAAGAGCACCTGTATCGGTAGTCTCTCACCAAATCTCTCAAAATAAAAAATTAATAAATTTAAAAAAAAAAGGAAAGAGAGAAGGGAGAGAGTCTCTCAAATGAGAAACTATGAGAGACTCACCTCATGTGTTCTCAACATATAATTGGTTTAAACTTTATTTTAAATTTAAAATTAATTAATACAATTAAATTATATTAAAATTATTATTATTAAATTGATAAAAAACTTATGCGAGTCTCTCACCAATGCAGATGGTCTAAGACAACAGACTTTGTACTTAGTATGTCGTCTACGTGTTCTTGAACACACAACAGACCAATCTGTATGTTGGGGTCGGTTTTCACCCTAGCGAGATCAACGAGAAAATGGCTAAGTATAGAAGTGATTCTTGACAATTCCCAGACTTTGCACGGGCGAAACCAATCACCTCGTCCAAACCGTGCACGGGCGAGGTGAATCGTGCAAAACCCGGGCGAAGACAATCACCTCGTCCAAACCGTGCACGGGCGAGGTGAACCATGCAAAACCCGGACGAAGCCAATCACCTCGCCCAAACCGTGCACGGACGAGGTGAACCGTGCAAAACCCGGGCGAAGCCAATCACCTCGCCCAAATCGTGCACGAGCGAGGAAACTTCTAATCAAGCCCGAAGGCGAAGGCCCACAAAGCAATAAGGCGAAGCCCCAAGTCAGACCCAAGGCGAAGCAATGTGCAAGTGGGCCGAGCCCAAACCCACGAAGAAGTCCGCAGCGGTGTTTACCCTAGAAGACGAAGCTTTGAGGAAGGGGGCGCTGCGAAGGGGATAGGAAAGAATTGTCTACGCAAATATACTCCGAGATCTTCGTTTAGATTACGACTAGGAGTTGTATAAATAGAGAGTTTAACTCATAAGCGAGTGGGATCTCTTTTCGACCTAGCAAAAGACTTAGCAGTACATTTGTACTAAAAGCTTATCAAAGCAGCACTAATAAAATCACCATCTTTGGATATTTGCTCTCTCGTGTTTTAACTTAGAATCTTTACGTCCTCTTTTGTTTTTACTTAGACAAATTCTATTGTGTAAAATCCAGCCCACACACTGTATCGATCTCAAGACCTTGTCCCCCAAAAATGATGCATCCATAAATTTGGAATCAACCACGTCCAATGCATTACATTCATTCCATTGCGTCCAAACCTATAAAACAAATGTTAAAACAGTTATAATTTTTATAAAAATAGAATATATCAAAATTTAAAAAATTTACGTAGTCCAGAAGACTATCTCCGCGGTGTATATTGCAATAGTCTAGGTTCCTAATCCCAGTAATAATCTCCAGCAGCATGACTCCATAGCTGAAGATATCGGATTTTTCCGACATCAAATGATGTATGGCATATTCTTCAGACATATAGCCACTACAAAATTAAAAAAGGAAAATTAGGAATAAATGATATTTTTTGTACCCTCTTGTCCATTTACACATTCTTAACTAACTCTTGTAATTTTATACCTTACATTAATCTAAATCCAATTATACCCTCTAATTTCTTAATTTTATTTCTAATATAATTACTAAAAAAATTAACACATAATTTAACCAAAAAATCTTAAATTCAACACTATTTTTTAAATTCTAAAATAAATAATCGATGTATGTTTTTCTTGATCAATAATAAATTTTTATTCAGTTTTCATTGTATTAATTTATGATAAACAATTTTTTTGATAAATTCTCCTAGATTAATTTGTTGTAAAGCAAACAACAAATTCAATAAACTCACCAAATTTAGGTTAAATGTATCTAATATTTTTTAGGAACAATAGCTGAAATGCCACTTTTGTTGAAAAACTAATCTCGGATGCCATCGTCTTCTCTACAATTTATTTTTGATTTTTTTTTTAAAATCAAAACGCTAGAAATACCCTTTAAACCCTTACTGAATTAAAAAAAAATTACACAACCTAGCCATCTAAACCTGTTAACTCAACTAGAATCTATCTAATTTTTCCTTTCTTTCGATTATCACCTTATTTTCTTCATTGGGTTCTTCATCTAATATTTTTTTTTTAATTTCATTGATTCAATTGAAGGAGAAGGAGACGATGAATTTCAATCTTACTACCACGGATCTCAAGTCTCTCTTCGACACAGACGTCAGGCTCTCCTCGCTGGCTTCATCGTTTCTCCGCTGTTTCTCCGCCGCCATGGATGCGCGCTTCTGCTCCGATGACTCTTCTCTTTCCTTAATCTTCAGTTTCTCAGCATAACAGCCTCGACTTCTACTTGCTCTCTCACACTAAGTTTTTCCATTTTCCTCTTCGTTCTCTGTTGAATTGCATTTTCTGATATTTTTTTTCTGTACTCTTTTGAAGTTTAGTCCTGTCATTTATGTAGATTTGTGTGAGTTTCTTGGCACGTCTCTTATACTGGAAGCTATGCTGCTGTGTCGAGTTTCTTTATTGCATTCTCCGCTTATTTTTTAGGTTTAGTTCAGCAATGACTATTGTAGCAATTTCAGGGCTCAAAATTCTGCAACTTAATTGATTTTTATGATTCTCCCTAGTTTAAATTTCAATGAATGATGATGTGTGGATTTGTTTTTTGTCCTGACGAGATTGATATTCTTTATGCAGTACTGCGATGATATATTTGAGCCGAAGCTGGAAGCTCATTAATCAGTTGAGGGAAGGTGATGAAGGCATGGATGCATGGCTAACTGACCATTTAACTAATCGATTTTCCTCTCTGTCTTTACCAGATGATCTATTAAATTTCTTTATTGACATACGAGGTTAGCTTCCTTGTTTTCATCATGTTTGGAACCTTGATTCTGGAGTTGTGCAAGATGATCAGATTATTTTGGATCCGAACAGCAACTTGGGAATGTTTGTTCGCCGTTGCATTTTGGCATCTAACTTTTTATTGTTCAAGGTATTGTGCTTTGTTTTTCTTGTTTTATCCAGCTTAAGATCTTATAGTAAGTGTTTGGTTTTTATTTAGAGTTTGCATGATTTTTTGGAGGGTACAGTTTTCTTTCTGTTTGCAGCATGATCATGCTTGTCGTGTGATTGCTAACCAACATATTCAAAAGTAAAAAAAAAAATCAGTGAGTTTCATTGGGTGGAACAAGCAAAATCCAAGTTACATGGCCACCATTATCATGGACAGTGCTAAAGTCGTGGTGTTCAACATTCATATTGCTAGTCCTTCAATGGTGGAGCTTCAGCAACATCAAGCTATGGAATTTTTTATCTGGATTTTTGTGAGAATTATGAAAAATATAATGTTTGTGAGGTACAACTGAAATAAATAGTTCGACTGAGTTCGATTGAGTGAGTTTTACGGTTCAACCGAGTTTTATTAAGTTCAACTGGATTTTATTATGTACAATGGATAACACAACTAACAAGATACAACTGAAATACATGGTTCCATTGAGTGAGGTTTACGGTCCAACTGGGTTTTATTAAGTTCAACTGGACTTTATTAAGTACAACAAATGATACAAGTAAAGAGGTACAACTAAAATACATGGTTCGAATGAGTGAGTTTTACGGTCTAACTGGGTTTTATTAAGTTAAACCAGATTTTAGTAAGTGCAATGAATGACATAAGTAACGAGGTACATCTGAAATACATGGTTCGACTGAGTTTGACTAGATGAGTTTTAGGGTTCAACTGGGTTTTATAAAGTTCAACTAGATTTTATTAAATACAACGAATGACACAAGTAACGAGGTACAACTGTAATGCATGGTTCGACTGAGTGAGTTTTACGGCTCAACTAGGTTTTATTAAGTTCAACTGGATTTATTAAATACAACAAATAACACAAGTATCGAGGTACAACTGAAATATATGGTTCGACTGAGTAAGTTTTACAGTTCAACTAGGTTTTATTAAGTTCAACTGGATCTTGATTTTTTAAAAAAATTATGCCGCGAAAAAGTGAAAAATTAGAAATTTTTGAAATAAAATATTAACATAGTTGTATCTAAGTTAATAGTTGAAATTTTTTTTTAATAGTTGTACTTTTACGATTTTAAAGTATTTCTAGTTGAACCTTTGTATAAATTATTATAGTGTAGTTGTACAAATGATTTTAGTCTTTTAATTATCATTTACAAAGTTTTCATAAAAAAATATATGTATAATCTAATAATTTGTTTTTTTTTGCATCATAATAAGGTAACATTACATAAGTCTTCCTTATAATAGAAGATGTGCTTGATGTGAAAACAAAAATATATATTTGAAAACCGATAAATCAGTGTCATCCATATTATTAATTCTTTCTTCATAGTCGAATATGTGTTTAGACTTCTTAGTTGGTTTATTTTTTTATGATTTTTCATAATTGTTTAATTTTTTTATATAAAATTGAAGCATAGTTGAACCACATGAACATAGTTGTACCAACAAAACCGATAAATGCAAAACTATAATTATCAGCTAATTTAGATATTATGTATTTATTACATATTAATAGTATGTATGAAACATATATTAAGTTAATAACTGTTTGTGTTTTTTGGTATAAAATAGATATTAAGTACAACTACTACGAACAACTGAGTTTTGAAATGAATTAAAATAAATTACGAGAATAAAACAAAAAAACACTTGTTCAACAAAAAATAAAGTGACGTCATCACAAAAAAAACCTCATTCAATACATAGAGCCAGTAATTTAAAATATTTAAAAAACTTATGTCGCGAAAAAGTTAAAAATTAAAAAAATTTGCAGTAAATATTAACATAGTTGTACCCAAGTTAATAGTTGAACAAAAATTTTAATAGTTGTACTTTTGCTATTTTAATATATTTCTAGTTGAACTTTTGTATAAACTATTATAGTGTAGTTGTACAAATGATTTTAATCTTTTAATTATCATTTAAAACGTTTTCATAGAAATCTTTATGTATAATCTAATAATTTTCTTATTTTGCATCATAAGAGGGTAACATTACATAAGTATTTCTTATATTGTAAGATATGCTTGATGTGAAAACAAAAATATATATTTTGAAACTGATAAATCAGTGTTATCCATACTATTAATTATTATTTTTTATAGTTGAATATGTGTTTAGACTTCTTAGTTAGTTTATTTGTTTATGGTTTTTCATAATTGTTTAATTTAATTACTTTTATAAAATTGAAGCATAGTTGAACCATATGAACACAGTTGTACCAACTTTATGTGATAAAGAAATTCATACACAACCATTACGGATGTGATTAAATGTGATGTGAATAACTCCTTCCATAGACAAAATGTATGCTTGTGTGGTTGATGCTCATTCTCTCGTGAAAATAGAATAAAAATAATCAGTCTCAGTTGTATCACAGTTGTACCAGTTGAACACAATTTCTTAGTTGTACCATTTCGTACTACTTGTATTCTAACTCTCAGTTGTTCCAGTTGTTCTATAATTGCAGATTGGGTGAAGACAAGCTCGGATTTTACATAAGAATCTGATCACATTCTTCTTACAAATTACCGAAGATAACGTTAATCTATCCAGAATACATAGTTACCAATTCAGATCTTTAATTTTTCAAATTCAAATCTCTAATTTTATAAAATATCTCTAATTAAACAAGAATAATTCACTTAAAAAATTGGATTTTTAATAATGGTAAAAAAGAAGAGGAGAAAGCAATTGCAAAAGAGGAGAAAGAATCATAATCTGGATCTGTGGGAAAGAATGTTGACAGAAAGAGTTTTGTAGAAATAAATTGGGTGGAGAGGATGAAGAGCTCCTGGGGGAGGGATGAAGATCTGGGAAGAAGACAAAATATGTTTTTAGTTTTTTTTTTTATTTTATTTATATAATTTATTATCAATTTATTTTCAGTAAGGATAATTTAGGAATTTTATATTAACTTGACTTAATGAATGACATTAGATTAATCAGTGGCACATCAGATCAACTTTCTGCAAATTGTAGCATTTGAGCTCTTCGCTCTATCTTTTAGTCTACACCATTAATTTTCACATAAATCTAAGAGAATCACAAATAGAGAGTATATTATAAAGATAACATAAAAAATTGAAAATAATCATGTTCTTAGTTCCAAAACCCGCAGAAAACATGTTCTAAACTTTGCAGAATACGTACATTATGCAGAATATATATTCTACAGAATCGCATAATGTATATTCTACGGAATAGAAACCGCAGAAGACATGTTTTAAAACTTGCAGATCATAAGAAATTCGCAGAAGAAACCTTCTGAATTTTGCAGAACATATCAAAAAAAGATTTTGTAAATATTTTTTGTTACGTTTTTAGAATAATAGATATTTTCTGTTTTCTTAGATAAGATTTTTTTCTTTAAAAAAGAATTTTTATTATATATTAAAATATATGATTGTGGGGATAATTTAGAGTACAATTTGACATTCA